TGACACCGCTCCTCAGTGCAGTATACACTCAGCAGTATAGAGGGTCCAGCGCTCTGAGTTCAGCTGAAACTGGGCGGCACCGCTGGAAAAACAGCTCACACTTCCTGACAGACTCTTGCTCATGTGCTGATATGTGTTAGAGATCAGGACACGACGGCTGCTACTGAACATAGAAAAGCCCAAACTGCTCAGAGAAATACCGTACAGCACTCACCACTCAGCCAAATGACCGAAAACACTCACTGATTCACATTGTGGTGGATCACGGTGGCTCAGTGGTCAGCACTGTGCCTTCACAGCAAGAAGGTCTCTGGTTTGAGTCTCGGCTGGGTCAGTTGGCGTTTCTGTGTGGAGTTTGCATGTTCTCCCCGTGTTGGTGTGGGTTTCCCCCACAGTCCAAACACATGCACTATAGGGGAACTGATCAACTACACTGGTTGTAGTGTATGCGTGTGGATGATTGTGTATGGGTGTTTCCCAGTACTGGGTTGTGGCTTGAAGGTCATGCGCTGTGTAAAACATATGCTGGAAAAGTTGGTGGTTCATTCCGCTGTGGTGAAGGAAAATGACTGAATGAATATTGTGGTTGGACAGACGGATAATGATGACTCATTGTTCTTCAAACCCGTCTGAGTTTCTTTCCTCTGTTCAACACTAAAGAGGATAGTTTGAAGAATGCTGGAAACCGGTAACCATTAACTTCCATTTAGGAAACGCAGATATAATGGAAGTCGATGGTTAGGAGAGAGTGTGGAGGAAAGTAAGAACGAGATTTTCTCTGAGACCTGACCACATTTGTCCTCCAGGCTGTAGCAGCACATTCAGCACAACTCTTGATGGAGCTGCCAGATATCAGCTGAGGTCATCTCTCTGTGTGCTGCAGGTAAGCCCACATCTGTGCTGTAGAGGTGCAGCAGGTGATCTCTCACACTGATAACCGCTCAGCATAATGTCTTTAAAACACAGAAATCACGAACATGCACCGTGAAGATGACAGAGAGCCACTAGATCATGTCATTGCGGCTGAACAACACTGCTGTGCAGATAACCCATTCAGAACAACCCAATCTACATGCGCTCTGTTTTACTCTGCCAGTAGGGAACAGAATAATCTGACGTGGGAATCTCTGGAGTATTCTGCTAGTTTCAGGGAGAAGCTCTCTTCATTTGACTGTGTTGGGTTCATCTTTTTAATTGACCCAGTGGTGGAGTTTGTCCATGTTTAACCCAACGTTGGGTTATAAAGAAGAGCCCAGCACCTTGTAGAGTGCAGATGTCTGTGTGTGAAACCGCTGTGACACATATTTCTGTCCTGTTTGAACACGCCGCAGCTTTTACAGGTATCCTGCTGCAGCATCATCACTTCTGGAGCCTTTAAGCAGTGTGTGTGTGTGTGTGTTTGTGTGTGTACAAATATAGTCATATACATATTTGTGTGTATAGGTGTGTGTGAGCATGCATATATTTATCTGTGGGTGTGTGCGCTATATATGTGTGTGTGTGTGTGTGTGTGTGTGTGTGTACACACAAGTATATTTATCTGTGGGTGTGTGAATATATATAAATATATGTGATGTGTGTCTGTGTGTGAGAGTGCATGTGCATGGTGTGTGCGTGTGTATGGTTTGACTATATAAGTGTATGTGTGCGTGCTTGCACATCTGTGTATAGGTGTGTGTGTGTGTGCATTGAACGGACATACACTCCACTGGCTGAGGTCAGGCGGTTTGTCACACACACACACACACACAAATATATGTGTGCATACTCATATACTCACACTGCGAGCACACATAAATGTGTAGTGTGTGTGTGTGTATATATATATGTGGTGTGTGTGTGTGCATGCATTTATTTATGGAAGTGTTTGTGTGTGCATTTATGTGTGTGTATCTTTGCATGTGTGTGTTCGCACATATGTTTATGTGTGTGTGTTTGCGTGCATTTATTTATGGATGTGTGTGTGCGCGTGTATGTATGTGTGTGCACATATATTTATGTGTGTGTGTGTGTATCTTTGCATGTGTGTGTTTGCGTGTGTGTGCATGCATGTATTTATGGATGTGTTTTTGTGTGCGTGTATGTGCAGTGTATGTGTGTGTGTACATATATTTATGTGTGTATGTGTAGTGCATGTGTGTATGTGTTTGCATGCATTTATTTGCGACTGTGTGTGTGTGTGTGTGTGTGAATATGTGTAGTGTTAGCATGTGTGTGTGCATTCATGTGTGTGTGTGCGCCTGCTGAACCGCCTGACCTCAGCCAGTGTAGTGTGTGTGTGTGTGTGTGTTTTTGTGTGTGTGTGTGTGTGTGTATGTGCGTGTGTGTGCGTGCGTGTGTGTGTGTGTGTGTGTGTGTGTGGGTTCAGTGGGTCTCTTCAGGAAATGTGCTCTGTGTTCAGACTCTTCCTGCCAGTGTTGCTGGACCCCGACCGCCCCGACTGTTCCGTGTGTTCAGAGACGCAGAGCTGCAGATCTGGCTCAGCTTCACATGTAAAACACTCGTTCATCAGTCAGACACAGCGGCCGTTTCCTCAGCTTAAACACTCCTGATAATAAACCCATTATATCAGACTCACACACACACCGCAGGCTCAGTCAGTCATTGTGCTCTGCTGACAGGATAATCAGAAAAAACTCTGCGCTATTAAAGGAGATCTATTCTGCCCCTTTATACAAGCTGTAGCTCTGCTGTGTCTAGTGTGTGTGTGTGTGTGTGTGTGTTTGTGTGTGTGTGAGCTGAGAATATCACACAGATGATGTTCTCCAGCTCTCTGGAACTGACCCTTTCAGCGTTTGATCCTGATTGTGGTGTTTTGGTGACTGTCACTTGAAATGCAAATGAGATTTAAAAAGAGGGCGGAGCTACAGACGCCTGTGCATCAGATGTAGAGCTGCAGTGTGTGTGTTGTGAGTGCTGCTTCATCTATATCTCCACATCTATAATCCTCTCAGTCTATGCTGACATGATCTTCAGCAGCTCAAACACTCTAATGGCTAATGGACAGACGACTGCTTCTCACTCAGGGCTGCTGGACATGCTAATGAGGTGGAGAGATGGGCAATAGTGGGCGGGGCTTTCCCCCTCTGATGACACGCACAGCAGGAGAATGTCAATCACAGTGTTTCTGCATCAAGTCTGATTATAATAAACACAGTTCAGTACTGCTGAGCATCAGAGGCTGCTGGAGAGACTCACACACTGCTCACACACACACACACACACACACTGCTGTGTTTAAACTATTAAATCCTGCACACATGTGAGTTTTGCTGAAGAGGTGCCCTGTGATTAAGTTCATACTAACTTCCCAAATGAACAGTACTACAGTACTCACAGTGTGTTTGAGCTGAGTCAGTGTGTTGTGGTGAATCTGTTCACAGTATAAACTAATGAGCCGGTTCTGCAGTTTCCTACAACTATCAGCTATATTAAACTACAGCACACCACTGTTTACTGTGATACACACTGAGGTACGCTACAGTATTGATTACAGTTGATCAGTTCACTGTGGTTAATACTGCAGTATGCTGCTGGAACACTCATTAACTCCGAGTGTAGATGCTCTAATATATGCAGTATAGTGTACAGGCCTGTGGGGTTCAGCTGGTTAAGACTCATGAGCTCATGTGTCTGTTTTGACTGCTGTTCCATCATACATTGTGAAAATAACCCATCGAAAAAGGCTTTAAGACCGAGTGGAATCCTCGGCTGTCGCTTCGGTGTGACTTCAGCTAATCAGGTTTGATCAATGCAGACAAGTGTTTAATGAGTCAGACATGCTGCTGCGCGAGAAACCCACAGTCTGACCTGAGATGAGTCACGCTTCACTACTGCAGCACGGCGGCTCAGTGGTCAGCACTGTGGCCTCACAGCAAGAAGGTCTCTGGTTTGAGTCTCGGCTGGGTCAGTTGGTGTTTCTGTGTGGAGTTTGCATGTTCTCCCCGTGTTGGTGTGGGTTTCCTCCGGGTGCTCCGGTTTCCCCCACAGTCCAAACACATGCGCTATAGGGGAACTGATCAACTACACTGGCCGTAGTGTATGAGTGTGTGTCTGAATGAGTGTGTATAGGTGTTTCCCAGCACTGGGTTGCAGCTGGAAGGGCATCTGCTTCATAAAATATATGCTGGATGAGTTGGTGGTTCATTCCACTGTGGTGAGCAGTTGAACGGTGTGAAGCACCAAAAGTGGCCCATATTAAAATGAATTTAAATACAATTTTGGCTAAAGCCCCACATTATTATTAATATGTTTTATTTTTTATTATTCAGATGGTCAAATTCTGACTGAGGACAGCTGAATGTGCCGGCCAGTTTGTTATATGCCTAATAAATGACGATAGGCCACAGTTTTCAGTTTAACACTTGCTATTTTTTTCTAATGATGTGATATGATTAATGTGTAGTTTAAGCTTTATATTTGTATTTATTCATGTTTCTTTGTTGTTTTTGGCACATTGCAACATGTGGACTAGCTAATCAAGCTAAAAGTAGTGCTTAAAATGTCACAAAAATGCAGAATTGAATCTCAGAATTAAATAGAAACTGCGGTGAATAACATAACCCCCTTCACCAGGCTGGCTACAGGCCTGTATAATAGCCTGCTTTGAACACTCCAGCATTAGACTGTGTCTGTATTTCAGCTCAGCTGTTAGTTTTGCATGTTAAGTGTTGAGCATATCTGCATTTATTGCTTCATCATTTTGTTCAAATGAAATGATCCTATTGAACACGTGATTCGGAAATGCCTGCACTCATCATCATTCAGTATGCTTCAGACATGCTGCGGTGTGATTGACAGCAGAGCAGAGTTCAGCAGAGAGCCCGCGCCGGTATGAAGAGCTGATGATCAAAAGTCTGACTATAGAGATCCAGCACGAGTCAAACGCGTCTCTTCACGCTAATAATAATAATAATAATAATAATAATAAAACTCGGTGTTTGGAGCGCCAGTGGGCGGGGCGCAGGGAAGTCACCGGAAGAGGGCGGGTCTGTAAGTGTGATGTCGGCGCGGGCGCGGCGCATTTATGAGCGTCTGCGGGAGCCCCGGGCGCGCGTGCACGTGAGAAAACTTTCACTGTTGTGTTTTTGTGTGTGTGTGCGCGCGTTTATATGTGAGCTGATGGTTGATCTCTGATCCTCAAAACACGCTTCTCATCATGGACTCGATCGGCAGGTAAGACTGTTCTCTAAGAGGTCCGCGTTCATGAGCCGATCACTTTGATCATAGTTTAAAACAGAGAGCGCGCTTAATGCGAGCAGGTGATCTGTAAACACTCCGCTTTCGCCTTCAGTGACTGATGAAGCTTCTGTAAATGAGAATCACACTGAAGAGTCGAGTTCAACCCGCTGAACACACAGGAGTGTACTGTCTGTTTAATGAGTGTGTTATTGACGTTTATCAGCTGTGTGTGTGTTTGTGTGTGTGTGTGTGTCTGAACACTGCTCCACACCTCTATCTGCTGTCAGATTTAATAAATACTGTGGTGTTTTTGAAGCATGTGCTGTAGTAAAGTCTATACTATATCCAGCACACTGTAGTGTTAACTGTAGACAACTAACTACTAAAGTATACTTTAATTTTACTACAGTAAACTGTGATGTATTGCAGTATATTATATCCTATAGTTGTACAGTATTTGTTCATATTACTGTAGTTGTTGTGTTACTGTAGCATGTGTAGAATCACCACGACAGATTAATTAAAGTACTATCCAACAGGGGTGTGTTTCCCAAAACCATTGTTAGCCAGCTAAGGTGTCAAGTTCCGTCGTTACATAGTTAGTTAATTTGGTGTTTCCCAAATCCGTCAGTCCAACGAACATTCGCAAACTGCGTGGCTAACTATTATGCTTGCAGCTACACCTCTGGAGCTGTAGATAGAAACAGAGTTCCTGGCTGTGTTCTATTCCCACTTATCTCCCCTATACCCTATTCCTTTAGGGACATTCTAACATTCATTCATTTATTTTCTTGTCGGCTTAGTCCCTTTATTAATCCGGGGTCGCCACAGTGGAATGACCCGCCAACTTATCCAGCAAGTTTTTACGCAGCGGATGCCCTTCCAGCTGCAACCCATCTCTGGGAAACATCCACACACACATACACTACGGACAGTTTAGCCAACCCAATTCACCTGTACCGCATGTGTTTGGACTGTGGGGGAAACCGGAGCACCCGGAGGAAACCCACGCAAACGCAGGGAGAACATGCAAACTCCACACAGAAACGCCAACTGAGCCGAGGCTCGACCTAGCGACTTTCTTGCTGTGCGGCGACAGCACTACCTACTGCGCCACCGCCTCGCCACATTCTAACATTTAAACTTGAAATGATTAAAAAACAGCAGTAAGCTCGTCTCTCTTAGCTGTATTTTGCTTTCAGTGTTTCTACAGTTCAGTTTTAGCGATCTTCATGTTTACAGTTGTGTTCCCTTCTCAGTGCACTTAGAAAACATTGATGTCATTTTGAACACAGCCGTTGTTTATGATGAAAGCTACAGGTGATCTATTATTTAAAAATGGAATTTATGTTGCGTCTCCAAAGCTCGTGAAAACAAAACTCATACAGTAGCACACGCGCGTGCGTTTAATGTATAGTGGGGTATTTATGAAGTATCTGTACTGCTGGGTGGAACAGTTCTGCAGTGGTTTATTTACATGTGTTCAAGTGTAAGAGTAGACTTTTCCAAAAAATACAAATATAAACAAACAATAACCTACTCATTATTAATATTATTATCATCATCCTTATTAAAAATATTATTATTATTAAAGTAGGATTTTTTTTGTTTCCTAATAAATATTAAATTTCATTTCTTAATAAATCACCTCATTATGTATTTATCTGTTAATGTGATTAATATATGAGATTAGAATAGGTGTTCGCTTTTGTTTATGTTTCAGAATAGAGTATGTATGTATGTTTAGAGCATCATTATGGGTGTTTTACGTTAGCTAACGTGGCTCAAGTGATGGATCTGCCACAGAGAAACGACAGGTTCTGGGAAACACTCGTCACCACATCGCTCTTTCCCCAAATGATGCGTCACACTATGATAGTTCAGCTGCGAGTTGCATTGATGTTTAGGAAACACATCCCAGAATGCTTCACCAACACCACAGTATTCCTCTGGTGTGTAGTTTTCTGGCGTATGGTGTTATGGCTGGAATCTGAAGAGTTTGTGAAATCTGAAGAGAATGTGTGGTGTGTTTCTCAGAATTCAGTTATGGGTGTTGTTGACATGTCAATATCTGTGTGTGTGTGTGTTTCAGAGGCGTGTGAAGCGTGTGTGTGTGTCTGCTCACTGCAATGGCTCTGGTCTTGGCTCTTCTTCTGTGTTTTTCCACTCAATCCTCTGTCCTGGTGTCTGGCGTCATCTCTCCGCCTGATGCTGCGCTAACACCCCGCGCTAATGCTCGCCACCTGCCTGACATCATCATCATCGGCGTGAGGAAGGCCGGCACCCGCGCCCTCATCCAGATGTTGCGTCTGCACACTAGCATCGCCGCCGCCCAGAATGAAGTGCACTTCTTCGATTGGGACAGTCACTATGAGCGTGGCCTGGACTGGTATGTGGATCAGATGCCGGAAGCGCAGCCGGGTCAGCTGACAGTGGAAAAAACACCGGCGTACTTCACCTCCAGAGATGTCCCACAGCGCATCCGGTTAGCCAAACCTGACGCTCGCCTGCTGCTTATCGTGCGGGAACCCACCGAACGCCTGCTCTCCGACTACACACAAGTCTATCACAACCGCCTGGAGAAACGCAAGCGTCCGCAACCCCTCGAAACACTTCTGCTGCGAAACGGAGAGCTCAACCTAGACTACAAACCGCTGAACCGCAGCCTGTACCACACACACATGCAGCGCTGGCTCCAGGCCTTCCCCATCTCCAGCTTCCACCTGGTGGACGGAGACGCGCTCGTCCGAGAGCCGCTGGCGGAGATGCAGAAGGTGGAGGCGTTCCTGAAGCTGGAGCCGCAGATCAGCCAAAACAACTTCTACTTTAACCAAACCAGGGGCTTCTTCTGTCTGCGGGACGGGCGGCAGCAGCAGCGGTGTCTGCACAGCTCTAAAGGACGCAAACACCCGCAGGTCTCCCCACACATCCTGAGCAAACTCCAACACTTTTTTCACGAACCCAACCGGAGGTTCTTTGAGCTGGTCGGCCGGACGTTTGACTGGAAGTGAGACATCTAGCAGGATGATCTCCTGAATAACTGGAACAACATGAGCGGGGCAACCGGACCGTCTGCGTGTGTTTGCTACTCTCTTTGTTTGGAAATATTCTCGATGTACAGCCCTATCAGAGTTAAACAGGGGAGTCTGACCAGTTTCATTCATTTAGGTGATCTTCAGATTTAGCGGAAACACTTTTAGCTTAGCTTAGCATAGGTAATTGAATCAGATTAGACCGTTAGCATTGTGTCGGCTGCAGCCATGGTACAGCAACAAAGTTCCTTGATATTTACGCCAGAATAGAAAAACGTTTAACGTTTGATTTTCTGTTTCTCCTCTAGTACATGAAGTTACTATGAATAAGAACATGATCTGAACTCTAATGCTAACGGTCTAATCCGATTCAATGATTTATGCTAAGCTATGCTAAAAGTGCTCCTGCACATCTGGAGATCGGCTGAATGGATCCAAAAATGCTAGAACTCCACCGATCAACGCTGACAGAGCTGTAATACTAGTCTGTTCACAGAATAAAGGGTTTGCTCAGCAGACATGTACATTCTGTTATTTAATGTGTTGAGCATGTCTTCTGGACTCTGAGCATCTCTGGACACGTGCTGTCTGTAGGGGATGAAGAGCTCCAGGGTTTCATCTAAATATCTTCATGTCTGATGATGAACGAGGCTCTCGAGATTGAAATGCCATGAGGGACGCTTATTACTGACAGAATATGAATGTTTGGGTGAACTAACCCTTAAATGAGTTTCTGCAGCGCATACACACACACACACACACACACACACACACACGCAGGTTTATGAGTAGAGCTCATCCTGAAAGACTGTGTAGAATCATTATCTTCTCTTATTTTTGCTTCTGATGCTAAACGATACAGTCAAACCAACATTCTCTCCCATTTAAGCTCTTCCAAATCAAGTTGAACACTAAGATATTTTGAAGAATGTTGGAACTGTTTGACTTTGACGTCTGGTGTAGGTCCGTGGGCTCCTGTGTTCCTTTAAGTTCTGTTTGTTTGTGTTGAACAGAAGAGGAGACTCCGCTGTGGAGCAGGTGTGATGTGAGTAAATGACTGATCTCTGGCTGAACTGTGCCTTTAAGAGCTTCACTGGTCAGTAGTGCAGGTAAACTGGAAGCTTCAGTGTGTGTCTGATTCCCGTGAGGAATACATTTACTTGCTTTATCAAGAACTCCTGTAGTGTCTCCTCTAGAAGCATCTGGATTTAAAGATGCTCTCGAGCTGACTGAAGATGTAAGAGTGTTTTCACCACTGCTGCATCAGTGTGTGTGTGTGTGTGTGTGTGTGTGTGTGTGTGTGTGTGTGTGTGTGTGTGTGTGTGTGTGTGTGTGTGTGTGTGTGTTGTATCAGTCATATATGGCAGCATGTCCTCATTCTCTTCTGCTTTCTGTGATTAAAGCTTTTATATGAAGGAAGATTCAATAATAAAGATATTTTTGCTATGATCTGCTGCTGTCCTTCTGTCTTTTATTGTGTGTGTGTGTGTGTGTGTGTGTGTGTGTGTGTGTGTGTGTGTGTGTGTGTGTGTGTGTGTTGTTGTAGATTCTCCTCATATTTGTGTGCTGATGTAGCGCTGGATAATCTCCAGTTTTGTGAGCTCAGTTTTCTGTGATCTCTCTCCTGACGTGTGTGTGTGTGTGTGTGTGCCGTCAACACTGTAACATGAGAACACATATTTGAGCTCTGCTGTTATCTGTGTGTGTGTGTGTGTGTACTGTCAGGACTGTAACATGAAATCACATTTGTGCACTGCTGTAATCTCAGTGTGTGTGTGTGTGTTGGTTTTTCTGTGTGTGTGTGTGTGTGTGTGTGTGTGTGGGTGGGTTTTTAACTCTGTGTGTTTTACCTCTATATGCATGCGTGTGTGTGTGTGTATATCTTTCTGTCTGTGTGTGTGTGTGTGTGTGTATGTGTGTGCGCACGCATGTATGTGTGTGTGTGTGTGTATGTGTTCTCGTTCTGTGTGATTGAGCAGCTCTACAGTCTCTGCTTGTGTTGGATCTGATGATGATGATGATGATGGTGTTCTCCTCTTCTGTTTTTCCAGCAGTCGCTCCAGATTTACAGCATCACTGGCCAAGAGCTGATTCAGTTTCACACTCACAGCTGAGACCAGTTACTTACACAATACTGTGTGTGTGTGTGTGTGTGTGTGTGTGTGTGTGTGTGTGTGTGTGTGTGTGTGTGTGTGTGTGTGTGTGTGTGTGTGTGTGTGTGTGTGTGTATATATAACCATTCTAACTGCTCCTTATGAACAATATTCTGGGCATATAATTGTGAACAGAACTCCTCCAGTTCTCCGCTTGGGGATGTGTCCAGCTTTGTTTCTTTTGTTTCAGTTGTTAAAGTGCCGAGAGTTTTCTGTGAGGGCGGGTCTATAAAACACTGGAGTGTTTCTGAACTATACTACAGTAAAGTGTATTATACTGTAGAGGTGATAGTTTCCCCACTCAGTTAATGAGTGCTCCAGCATACTGTAATATTAACTACAGTCAACTGATATTCACAGATATACTGTACTGTAGTGTATTCTAGCTTTTACTACAGTAAACTGTGCTGGATTGAAGCATAATATACACTACAGCTGTACAAAACTACAGTGCTGGCTCATTTGTTTATATTACTAGTTGTTGTGTTGCCATAGCAACTGTAGAATCACCACAACAGATCAATGACTGTAGCTGTGTTACCATAGCAACTGAAGAATCACCACAACAGTATATTAATTCAAGTTCTTTATTCCAGTGTGGTTGAAAAGCACTATTCTTCACGTGTGTTGTGGTATAATGTACCAAAATGAAGTAGTTGTTAGAATATTTATTTAAAACTAAATCTAAGATCTGTTCATGTGGTCAGAAAAACCTGTTTTCAATTTAAACAGCTGAAACCTAGTTTCTCTTGCCTCTGGATGATGTGTGTTTTCCTGCTGCTGTTTGTCTTGTCAGGACACTTCCACACTATCCCATGATTCAGCATTAATGTCCGGAAGCTACAACCGTTTATTTTCACCATACTGTGAGGAACAGAATATTAGAGGAGTAAACAGTGGGCGTGGCTTGTTTTTTTCTCCTGTGAGCTGATTGGATGTAGTAAAGTAGGCGTGTCTTTCAGAAAGATGTGGAAAAGGCTTTGGGGAGAGTTATTACAGCCTAACAGGCTCCTCCTCCATTTCTGTGTGATGTTCTAGCACTTACAGCTGGAGGGGGCGTGGTTAAGTATGTTAGCCACACCTATTACCTCAGACAGATGTAATGGACCCTTCTCACAAGACTGTTATGATCTGCTCAAAGCTCGTCAGCATCTGTGTCTTCCTTCTGACAGTGTTCTGGTCAGTGCCGGTTTGGGTTTCCCTGATAATAGTTTAACCCAGAGTTACCAGTTGATCTTGAGCTCTTAACCTGCATTCCTGAACACAGCAGCCGTGCTTTTATTAGTGTCTCTGCCTGACCGCACAGATGCATCATGGGACCTGTGTGTGTGTATATATATATATATTGTAGCTGTAATTAAAGAGTGTTTATTTATATGTGGCTTCACCGTGCTCATGTTTAGCCCTACAGAAGCAGGAAACCAGCATTGTTTTTATAGCAGTTCACACACACACACACACACACACACCACTCCTGCGCAGATCAATTATTAATATTATATTGTTATATGGCGTATGTGAACAATAAGCACACGCTGTGAGCTGCAGTTTCTCCCCACTTCCTCTTCATGCACAATTCACACAGAAAAATGTGTGTGTGTGTGTGTGTGTGTGTGTGTGTGTGTGTGTGTGTGTGTGTGTGTGTGTGTGTGTGTGTGTGTGTGTGTGTGTGTATGTGTGTG